TAAAAAAAATACATTCTGTTGAGAAGGAATCTATGGCACAAAAAAGGTTAAGCCCTCGGCACTAGAAGGATCTAACAGTTTCCAAGAGTGATTTACAACCTGAATACCAGCTTGCCTTCACTGTATACACAGGCTGGCCTCTTCTGTAGCCTGGATGCAAAGCCAGCAACATCCCACTTGAGTCTTAAAACAGCGGCAGCTCTGAATGCATGTGCAGTAAAACGTACTTCTACATCCAGACCACCGCTGGCAAATACCGAAGCCTTATTTGCCCGAGAGTAAGAGGACTGAGTTATGAACAATTGCCTGCTCCGCTTAAGTTAACCCTTCCCGAAAGGAAAAAGCAAAGTTCAGAGAGATTACCCGGCAACTAGTTCTCCCATCTTTCCACCCCACCCCCACTCCGAATTTTAGGAATGTTATCTCTCAGCATCTAGTTATCCAATAAGTTGGAAGAATGCAGTAAACCCAGCAGGGGTCTTAGATTCAATCACTGCCAAATGGATAGAAAATACTCTTACTATTGTATAGAAGAAAAGCTCATCTACTAGAAGCCAATCAAATTCTGGAGACCCGAAAATGCTTAAAAAATAAAACCTGTATAATCTTGAGAAAAGCATTACGACTCAAGCTTATCTCCCTCCCCATTTCTATATTAAAAGAATCACAATGAGTAGATTATCTAAAGTATACAATATCTTCAACCCTCTCCCACCCACAGGATAATTGCTCACCAAAAAACAAAAGTAAAAGATTTCCTTTGAACCAGCTAAAAGAAAGCTCCCATTTACGGTTTACTTTTACATCTCAACTCAGCAATCCGAGAAACACTTAAGTAACAGGGCTTTAACTCAATTCATACATGGCAAGTTAGAGCTATAATTAAGTTCTACTTAATTAAGAGCTAAAAACTTGTTCCAAACAGTCTTGGATCAAAATTCAGGGACTCTGCTGAAAAGGAAGAACAGTAGAAGAATCAAAGAAGGTTGTAACAGCTGTTAATGTGTCTTGAGTTCTGCTATTTACATTAAGAGATGGGTCCCATTTTCCTTCAACTGGGGCTCATCTTTTAAGCAAACTTGTAAACTCCATGCAGGCAGGGACTTTTGTCAGTCCCTTCTACAGAGTCACTCCCAGAACAAAGACTTGACAGTCATGAAATTCACTTGGAAAAAAAAAATAATAAAGGATGGTGGTAACTGGAGATGCAGTACTTGTCTGGATTTAGTCTTTTAAAATGGTTTAGATGCTTTCTTTAATGAACCAAAAGTACAACAGGTTAAGGGTTGATGAAGGAGGGAACTTGTTGAACTCTTCCCCGTGATTTTTCCAGGGCCGTAAGGCCCAGAGCATGAAATGCAAACACTGTTTTATTTCCAACTCTCTTCCTAAAGACCTCTTAAATGTAAGGTCCCAAAAGCACAGCTCAGATGTTAAAAGGGAGAAGAGATCGTCAAATTCGACCAGCTAAACACTCATCATGGCTCCTTCAAAGGAACTGATGGAAAATCCCATCTCATAACCAACCAGAGTCAGATCATGATAAACAGCTCCTTGGATTCAAAGCATGGCTAAAAATCAACCATGAGCAAGCCATTTTCAACCCGGAGCTACTGTTTACTCTAAAATGAGTACAAATGAGAGTTAAAGATAATGTACTTGAGGTCCCAGCCTGGTGTCCGGCACTTACTTAGGCTACAGTTTAAAAACTGCAGAATCATCTCAGTTGGCAGTTCAGAACTCTCTTGACACAAATAAAACCGAAAACATTGTTATTTTGAACAAAACTAAATTACTGATCCCGTTGCCAGCACACAGTGGGTCTTCTGCAGTTGAAATTATCTGAACAGGACTCTCTACCCCTTTTGTATAAAGGGAAAAATCCAAAAGCTCAGAGTAATTGGACAGGTCGCAAAGTTACACAGCTGAAAGTCATACAATCAGACTGGAATGCACATCTCTAAACCCTACCAAAACACTAACTTCATTTAAAAAGAGGAAGTGCTAACTCCATCTCCTGCTCCCAAGATGGCTCCCCAGCCCCCCCACCCCCACCCATGAGGAAGCTAGTGGAGGCCGAAATGACCAAGTACCGATGTGTGTAATTCATTTTTAACGGAACAAAGGGGGCTCCGGGCAAGCTGGAGCCCCTTTCTCTATCAGAAACTATGATCGAAACACAGAGAGTCGGCCTGCAACACGCAAGCTACTGTCAACGAGATTTCTCCCTCTCCCACAATTAAAATGGGGACTTCCAAGTGCCCTCTTCTCAAAATCCTTATAGCCAGGGGAGGTCATTTCAGTTTAGAAACTGGGGCGAGGCGGTTGTTTGAAACTTGGGGATCTTAATCGTTGATGGTTGTAATCCAGTTTAGCACAAAGGGCATTCGAAACTCTTTTGAGAAAATGCTAATTTCCCCCCATATGTAGCGTGAGTCCACTGCCCACCTGCAGATTTTTTGATCTGCTAATTGATCTCCAAACTCCACCTTCCTCCCTCAAGAACTGCATTCTTTACAAGTGGATCTCGAATTTGGTTTTGCAAAATAGGTCCGGGTCCAAGTCTTTTAACTTTTTAAAATTGCACAGGTCTATGTATCTATTTATAGAGATCAGCCTATATGGATCTATGTGTCTCTCTATACAGCTATATGTACTGAGCATACAGACAGGTACCTACAGACAGGCTGCTCAGATGAAAAAGGCAGTCCTTAAACTGCCCGGGGAAACTACCTTCTGGTCCCGTGGGGGCAACTGGAGATCCTGCAAACACATTCTAGGATCGAGGAATTCTTGAAAAGAATTCCAGAGAGCAGCAGGTACAGCCCGGGCTCGCGCAAGCCAGTGGCTGAAGTTGCCAGGGGCGCCCATCCTGCGCTCGGCATCCCCACCCCGCAGCCCGTCCCACCCATCAGGTGTGAGCCGGTACCTGCGAGGGGACCCGCCTCTCGGCAAAGCGTGCGGCTCCGGGCAGGGCCTCCAGGGGGCGCCCGCGCGCAACTCGGCGGTCGGCTCGGACCCCAGCGATCAATAACGATTCCCCCCCCCCCCTGCCGCGCGCCCCCAAATCGTGGAGGGAGCGGAGCGCACGGCCAGGCCGGAGAGCCCAAGCCTAGCTCGGGTTAACTGCCAACCCCAAGCCGCGCTCATTGAAGAAGCCGCCCGGTGACACGCTCCCCGCAAAGGTGCCAACCACCACCCAAAGCGCCCCTGGCGTGCGCCCACCAAAAGTGAAGGGGGCTGGAGAATGGGGAGGTCAGAGCAGAACCAGGGGAGGGGTCAGAGCCCGGAGCTCGCCCCTCCTCTTGGGAGGAAGCGGGCGGGCGGAGGGTTAACCCTTTTGTTCCAGGTGGGCCAGGCGACGGAGCCTCTGCACGCGCTCCCCCCACCGCCCCCCCACCCGAGGCACAAAGAGAGTCCATCCCCCTGGGACCCCGGGTGCGCGCTGCCCAGACCATCAGACGCCCCGAAAACGCACAGCCGCCCCTCGTCGAGCTGATCTCTTTCATTTGCCCTGGAAAAATGTTATTTGCGGGAGGGGGGGGAGGGGGAGAACGTGGGGGGGTGCGTGTGAAAAACAAAACAAAACAAAACAGGGATTCACATTAAGCCCATTATAAATTCGGGAAACCCACTACATCCCCAAGAAGGGGGAGGTGGCCCCAAAGCAGCGCCCATCGGAGCGGTGGCTTCAAGCGGCTGGGACTGCAGCGCACACTCCCACGAGCGGCTGAGAAATTAGAAAGCAGGCGGGGAGGGGAGGGAAAACGACCCACAAGGCCCCAGAGGAGGTGAACAACGCCCCCTCCCCCCACGCGCAGCTAAAAACTTATCAGGCGACAATTTGGCGGGCCGGGGCCGGGGGGAGACCGGGTGGGCGCGCGCCCCGCTCCCGCCGCCTCCTCCGCAAGGGGCCGGGGTCCGAGCGCCTCCCCGCCCCGGGAGCTCGCCCCGGCCGCGACCGCCCAGCCCCGGCCCGACCTCTCCGCGCCCCCCCCCCGCGCCCCGGGGCGCGCTTCTGGGCAGCCGGGCGCCCCGGAAAAGCCCCGCAGGATTCCAGGCCGGGGCACCCCGCCGCGGCTGCCGCGCGCCCGCGCCCCCGGCCCCCGGCCCCCGCGCCCCTCCCGCGCGCCGCGGTTATTTTTAGGAAGTCGGAAATCAAAGATGGCTGGAGGTCAGGCCCCGAAAGGTTAGGGCGAAGATCGGCGGGCGGCAAAGCCCAGCGAGGACGGGGGGGGGAAGAAAAAAAAAAAAAAAAAAAGCAAGCTAAAACCTTATTTTTTTTTTTTTTTTTTTTTTAATGAGAGATCCTGCGCCTTCCCCCCGCCAACCCTCTTCGGGGACCTCCAGAGAGCGGGTGGCCCGCACCCCAGCTCCCGGAGGTGGGGAGAGGTCGCGCCCCCTCCTCCCCCTCCCCCCCCGCCCGGCCCGGCCCGGCCCCGGGAGGGGCGCGTGCAACAGATCGCCCTCCCCGGGGGGGGGGCCTTCCAGGAGCGCGCCCCGTCTCCAGCCTCCCAGAACAGCCCCCCCACCACCAAGGGGGGGCAGGGGGAAAGGTGGGGAACCCCCGGGGTCTTTCTTTTTAAAAGCGGCGCCAGAGAGGGAGGAGGGGAACCGAAGTTACAAGTGGGGGGGGGGCGGGGGGAGGAGGCTACCAGCGAGGGGAGTGGAACCAATTAAGGGGCGAGGGACGAGGAGGGAACCTTTCAGGAATTGAGGGGCAGAGAGGGTGGGGGTCAGGCTTACGAGACCTGGGGGTGAAACTTACACGAGAGAGGCAAGCGGTGGAGAGAGGAAAAAAAAAAAAAAAAGAAGAAAGTGGAATTAACGAGGGGGTGGGGGGCGAGGGTGCCTCGCGCGCCCAGCACGGGGCCCCCCGATCTCGGTGCCGGCCAGAATGCGCGCTGCGGGGCGCTGGCTCCCCGAAGCCCGCGCCTCCCAGGGTCCGGCGAGCGCCCGCGAAGCTGCCCGCCCCCGGCGCGCGCCCCAGCCCGGCTCACCCGGCTCCCCCGCCGCCGGCGCCGCTGCGGCCGCATCTGCAAACTCCGGGGCCGGCTGCTGCGGGGGCTGCTCGCCCTGGTCCTCCTCCGAGTTGATGTGCTGGGGTTTCGCCTGCTTGCGCCTCGACATGGTGCGAGCATCGGGCCGCCTGGAGAGCCGCGGTTATTCGCCCACTCCGCCACAAATTCCTGGAGTTAGGAAATTTACCCCCCTTCGGCCGGAACGCGCATGTCCCAGTAATTATTATTATCAATAATGCATTGCGATTTATCATGAGCCCTGACAGCTGATTGGCCTGAGTCCAAGACCTCAGAGATCATTTAAATAAGCCCTCATTGATCAGGGAGGGGCGAGGCATTCTGGGCTTTGTAGTCCGGCCCTGCCGGCGACAAAGGCGTGTTCGTCGGGGGAGCGCAACTAATTAGCATCCGGGCTCAGATTGGCTGGATCGTGCACGAAATCGGAGGGGGGGACCCATCCTCGCCCCAGCTATCTGAGTCCTTGGAGAGAAGATTAAAAATAATCGTGTGCTTATTCAAAACCTGGAGCGTCCGTAAAAGTTTTGCAAGGAGCGTTTGGGGTGGCGTTCGCTCCAGAAATCACTTTTGGAAGGTTGATATCCGCGCAAGCCGGGGTTGGAAGGTCTTTTCAGTGGAACAGTTTGGCTCGATTTTTTACATCTACCAAAACAAACAAACAAACAACAACAAAAAAAAAAACCAACCAACCAACAAACAAAAAAAAAAAAACACAAAAAAAACCTGCAAACAAAAAACTGGGATGTGACCTGTGTCACCTTCCATCTTATTTTTGATGGCGATGCTTAAATGGAATTTCTAGATGCCTGAAGAAGAGTGAACATGGTGGTTGATTTGATTCGACCTTCCCAATCCATCGCAACTCTGCAAGTGGCCTTGGAATTTCCAAAATTTCAGATTATCCTTTTACCGTGATTTATTTTCTTTAAATGCTAACTAATAGCCTCTCCCCCCGCCCCCCAACCCCAGGATTCATATTCACAAAGGTTGGTTTGTTGTTAAAAGGCGACCTTGGTTTTTGGTTTGGGGGTTTATTTTCACTCTAAAATGACTGAAACCAAATACTGAAAAGGCAGATTAAAGGCCAGTATAGTCAGAGATAATATCAAAACAGCAAGCAATTGCATTTTTTCCCCCACAAAGCCATAAATGTCTGATAACATCATATTTTATTGCTGAGACAATGCTCTTACATCTCCCATGCAATAGCAATGAGTACTGTTAGAGTATCTGAGTGTCACTAAACTAATCTTTATTGGAATTTTTTGCAATAAAGACTTCATTATGAAAAAGGGGTATAGTTCAGAGTGATTGCATCATCCTGACGCCGGGATACCTGGCATTTTCTAAAATTGTGTATGTATAATATTACATGTATACGCATTGATAACAGTAAATCCCTATATTTAATTCCATTAATTGCCTCGCGCAAGGTAAATGCTCAAAAAATGTCGAATAAATGATGAAATTTTCAGCCTTCTCAGTCTTTGATTGGTGTTTCCATGACGCCTCCGGGCCTGTGTCTTTATTTGGCTTTTACTTCATTGTAAGAGAACTGTAAACCATCCACATTTGTGCCTTGCATTTGCTCCATTAGTTATATATCAAGTTCCCAGCTTGTAAGAGTTTCTTGTAAGCTCATCAGAAATGCAAGCAAAATAGAATGCTGGGCTCATAAATACATTCACCTGGGTATTTGGACATCCCAAGGAGGAGAATAAATCAGCTTGATCATCTTTTTGATATTCATGGCCATCAATAAAAACTTACTGAAAGAAGGTTAACTTCCAATTTTTGAGTCTCCGCTTGAAAATGCTTCGCTTTGTTTTATGTAAGTCCCCTAAAGCAAAAAAGATAGAATTACAGTCAATGGCCAAAGTTGGGAAGGTAAGAATTTGGTTTAATAATACATGGAAGCTGTTTAGAATTCTCATACTGAGTAAAAAAGCCAATTAACACCTGCTTTGCTGACTAATTTACTTATATTCCTAACACCTTTTCTGTTTAACATGGTGTGGCAGGAGATGTAATTGAGAAATCTAAATGAATGTACAGTAGGTTTATAGCTCAAGACTTATTGGTGGCTTAAAGAAAACTTCATTAAAGGTAAGGTTTCTTACATTTATTTTAGTTGTTAGTTTCATCATTTCTACTTAGAACAAGGTCAAAAAACTGCCGCTTGCATCTCCAAGTGATGATGATAATAATTACTGTTTGAGCCGCTGTTATGTGCCGCAGACTCCCTAAACACACACTCCCTTGTTTTATCTTCCCAGGGAAACTGAGGCTCAGAGACGTGAAGTGACTTAATTAGGAAGTGGCTGAGCTGATTGGTGGTTGATCCCTAAACTCGGCTCCAAAATTCTTACCGTATCCCCAAACCTGTCATGCACCTGAAGCTGAATGCAGACAAGAAAATAAAAACAAGGAAACATTGGGGTAAAAGAAATCTTGTGCAACATTAAGCCTGTCCTGGAAAACTCCAGGCTCTGTAGAAGTAAATTCTACAGGTAAAAATCAAGGAGAAGTTTTCCTCCAAAAGAAACGTTCCATGAACATCATATCAAGAAAAGGATGCAGTACAGGTTTTGAGCCTACCTCCAACAGTGAGCTGCAGCCAGCGAGCAGGAGTAGGAGGAAAGACCCTAGAGAGGAGGAGAGGGTGAACGGAGAATAGAGGGCTACAGGCAAGTTCCTAATCAAAGGCAGTTTTTTTGGATTATTTAGTATTCCCTGAACAGCCAAAAGACCTGAGTAGGACTAGGGAAAAAAAAAAAAAAAAAAAAGATCAAAGTAGAAGATTGTATTAAACTTTTTAATGCCTTCTGTTAGGTGACTGGGTTTATATAATCCAATCATTTGGGATCCCTGGGTGGCGCAGCGGTTTGGCGCCTGCCTTTGGCCCAGGGTGCGATCCTGGAGACCCAGGATCAAATCCCACGTCAGGCTCCCGGTGCATGGATCCTGCTTCTCCTTCTGCCTGTGTCTCTGCCTCTCTCTCTCTCTCTGTGTGTGACTATCATAAATAAATAAAAATTATTAAAAAAAATAATCCAATCATTTTCACTGTTTGCCCTAGGCAGGAATTGTTGGGAAATTCATTTCTTGTTTTATCTTTCAGGCAAGCAGTTTATGAAAACTGAGGCTTTACTGTCAATGAGGTTATCTGGGATTCATAATCCCATCCTCATTAAAAGGCTTTTTTTATTCCTGTTTCATGAAGCTCAGAGCTCCTGCCTCATTGGGCCCTTCCCTCCTAAATTTCCAGTCTTCAGTTCAGCCTTCCCTGCCTAAAACCCACCTTTCCTCATCCAAATCGGGTCTCACCTCTTAGTCTGCTAGGAGCCAAGACTTTCCTTTTATCGCATGGTTCAAAATTTATGATTATAGATTTAATTGTATATCCGTTTATTGCTTCTTTTTCACCAGGCAGGCCACGCGGAGGCTTCACCACCGAGTCCCAAGCCCTTAGCCACGGCAATGGAACACAGAAGTCACAATAAATAATAATGAGTGAATCCGTCAATGGTAAATGATTTTGCAGGCCTGAATATAAGATAAAGTATTAAAAGGCAATTACCGTTGGTGGGCATATAAATTGGTGCAGACGCTATGGAAAACAGTATGGCAGTTCCTCAAAAAAAGCAAACACCGAATTACCATATGATGCAGCATTTCCATTTCTGGGTGTGTGCCCCCAAAGAACCAAAAACAGGGACATGAAACGATATTTGTACACCCATGTTTGTAGCAGCATTATTCGCAAGAACTAAAACGTGGAAGCAACCCAAAGGTTCACCCACAGATGAATGGATAAACAAAATATGGTGTATACATACAAAGAATTATTCAACCTTAAAAACGAAAGAAATTCTGGCACGTGCTACAATGTAGATGAACCTTGGGGACATTATGCTGAAGGAAATAAGCTAGTCACAAAAAGACAAATGCCATTTGATGCCACTTACATGAGGTACTTATAGGAAGGGGGGATGGGGAGTTGTTTAATGGGTATGGAGTTTCAGTTTTGCAAGATAGAGACCTGGAGATTGCACAGCCGTGTGAATTTTTTTTTTAAGATTTTATTTATTTATTCATGGTAGACTTGGGGGGGGTGGGGAGCAGAGACACAGGCAGAGGGAGAAGCAAGCTCCATGCCAGGAGCCCAACACGGGACTCGATCCCGGGTCTCCAGGATCAGGCCCTGGACCAAAGACAAGTGCCAAACCACTGAGCCACCCAGAGATCCCCTGAATGTTCTTAATACCACCGAATGATACACCTAAAGACAGTTGAGATGGTAAAATTGTATTTTACCAAAATTGGGGAAACAAGGCAATTACAAATGGATGGCCATCCAATTGTATTAATTTATTAAAAATTCTCAAACTGTACATAACATATAAATATAAGGGATGAATTTTATGCTATGTAAAGCATACCTAAACGAGCTGTTTTTAGGAAGGCAATTAGATATGTGATTATCCCTATAATTGAAAGGATCATAAATATGGGGTTTTGTTTTTTGTTTTTTTTCCTATGTGGGATTCCCAGCATCGCAAGCTTGAAAAGGCTAAAGTGGCAAGGCTGGCGTCCATAAATCATGATCTGCCCCTGCAAAAGTACGCCTCTTTGGGTCTCTAATTATTCATACCAGGAAACGGCCACGTGGACCGACATGGGAACCATTGCTGCTTTAATTTGGGAAATGCGAGGTTTGGATTCGGGAAGTATAGAAGGGCCTTTTTCTCAGCATGGATCACCCTCTGGGAGGCTATGGACTTTCATCGATTTGATATCTGCCTGCCTCATGGAAGTCTTTATTCCTGGGAGGAACTCTTCAAATTCTAGAGATTTAGAAGTTGAGCTAAAACTGCTTAAGAAATCATGCTTGTAATTCACCAGGAGTACTTTATTATGGGGCCAAATGTCCACTTTTCTGAGTGTCCTGGCCTGGAGCCCCTCTGTTGGGATGATTTATGGTTGCAAAGGCTGGCTAATTGCAATAATCACCACTTAACTGATTATGTTCCTCCTCCCTCATTTTGATATCTCAACATGTTGCCATTTTATCCATCCCAAATTGGTATCGAACAATTTCCTGCTCTAATTAGTCT